GTGTATTTATAATTTTTCCTACAGTGTTGCTAACAGCTGTCCAGCTTTGTGTGAAATTTGTCTCTCTTTTTAAGCAGCAACCCAGAGTTTTTTTAGGGATAGAACATGAAGCAGCGCATTTCTGATGCAGCAGTCGGAAAACTCTCATCTGACCAGTATCCACATGTGTATAATTTCCCATGCCTGCAGGGGAAGAATAAATCCTAAATGGGATGGGTGGTGAAGGGGAATAGATTTGGCAACCTTCCTCCAAAGAGAGTTGTCTGAATTTGGGATTAAGCTGGTGTATCTCAGATAGGCACCTGGTGCAGTGTTGTACGTTATTGCCAGAATGTAGCGAAGTGTGGGCACAGATCAGCATTGCCAAGACAAAGGCAAATAGGTTTGTGGAGGAGATAATCCAGGAACTGCTGCATCATTCTCAGCACAGGCACTGAGGGTTGAACGGACGGAGATGGCCAGTCACCCCGTTAACTCCTCAGGTGTTTCCCGCCCAGGATTGAAACTGCTCTCTGTGCTGTAACTGCTTCGTGGGCAAAGCATAATCCGCTTGGCAGCTCCTGCTAGCACGAACTTCACACGGAACTAATCCATTTGCCAATTTTGAGCAACTCTCCTGCAAAGCAGCTCATCTTCCTCTTCTTGGAAAGATGAGACTGCTGCATGTCTCCACAACCTCCCTGGGCAGCCTGTTCCAGTGCTCCGTCACCCTCAGAGGGAAGAAGTTCTTCCTCATGTTCAGACGGAACTTCCTGTGCCTCAGTTTGTGCCCATTGCCCCTTGTCCTGTCACTGGGCACCACTGAAAAGAGCTTGGCCCCATCCTCCTGACACCCACCCTTCAGATATTTATAAGCATTTATAAGGTCCCCTCGCAGCCTTCTCTTCTTCAGGCTGAACAAGCCCAGCTCCCTCAGCCTCTCCTCGCAGGGGAGATGCTCCAGTCCCCTCACCATCCTTGTAGCCCTCCGCTGGACTCCCTCCAGTAGCTCTTCAAAGTGAAGAGGAGTCTAATGTGGAAGATCTTCCTTTGTATACATGTTCATGCCACTAGCTGGGGGAGTGCTTAGATGCTGTTAAATGTCTGGCTCTCACGATGACATCAGTGTCTGAGGCGTTTTCCATTTCGCGAAAAGGCAAAAGCTAATATAGTGAACTTGTTTACTTTGCTTTCTGCAATAAAAAGGCAATAAATTACTTATCCCCATGCTTTTCCAGGAGGAAACAGTGTAGATTGCAACTCAGCACAAATCCATAACCGATGGAAAAGTCTCATTTATTCTGGGAGAAATGATCTTTTTAAGGGCAGTGCTGAATTTGGGCTATAATTAAAACAGCCTTTTAAGGAAAAAGAAAAGCAGTGGATGTTTTTCTCATTTGATGTATTACCCATCGCTAATGACCCTCTTTTCTCATTTCCATTTAAAAAATGGATATAAGCAATTAGCCATATATTGCACAAAAGTAACATTACCTGAAAAAATAATTAAGATGATCTTGAAATTAAGGAAATCAGTTCTGAAGAGAAGCAGGTGCTTAATGGAGGTGAGACCAGCTGTGCTTCCCAGGAACGTGCTTGAAGCGCTTCGTGGAAAAATGTGCAAGGCCTCCACACAACACTGGAAGGAAATTTATAATAATTCAGACAAATTGCATCCTATAAATAGCAGAGCTGGATTCATTAGGACGGGAGGCAGATGGAGAAAGTATAAAACTTGTTTGTTTCTTTTTAAGGGACTATAATGCTTATTAAAAGTGTCAGCTTGCTGTCAATGAGGGGAAGAAACCCTCCGGTGCAGCAGTAACTTTCTCAGTATTAGGTTCTCGTCTCTGCTAATGAGCAGCCATCCACGAGGGGCATTCGTAATACTTTGTTTTAGCAACTCCTGCCTGCCTTTTTCTGGCGTAGCCAGGCTGCCACAGAGGTGCTGCAGTGCTGGAAGCATGCGGCAGTTTGGGGAGGTGGGGAGACATGAGGGAGGACAGAGTTTCGTATACAGTGCATAGCACTTGCTAACCCTGTTTAAAACAGATGCTAATGGGGCGAAGGCATAAATGTAGTTGAAAAGTGGGTCTGTGTGGAGCAATGCAGGAATCATCCACCAAACTGGCTAAGGGGTTGTGCCCCAAGGCAGAAATGTGCTGGTAATTGGTAGAGGAAATGCTGTGCATTATTGAAGAGAGAAGGTGAAGACATTTTTGAGATGCTCTTACATTAGTAGGTAGGAAAAAGGAGAGCCTTTCATGCATGAAGAGGAGTAATGACGGAAAGCGGGTGGGAGGTGCGTGACTGGAATGCAGCTCTGTCCAGAGGAGGTAAGTGGAGGTGAGAGGGCTGTTGCGTCTTAGTATTCATGCACAGTGAGGTGCTGAGAAGAAGGGAGAGTGTCCAGCCAAAAACGAACATACAGACTGACAGAAAGGGCACGTTGTAGACTGCATTTAAATAACAGGAGAGGGTGAACGTGTGGGGCTGTTTCCAAGTATGTTGAAATTATGACTAGGCGCTTTAAAACAAAGCCCTCAGAGAAGACTGGCTGAACAATTGCATACCATTCAACCACAGGCAGGTCTGAGCTAAAATACAGAAACAGTAAATGTTCTGTATGAATATTATCTGCTAATGAACCTGCCTTCATCTCTTTTGCTGATCTGATTTGCATTTCAGCAAAGCTTCCTTAAAAGATAACACAGTGTCAAAATTTGAGTAAGCTATCCTGAGAGATTTTTTAAGTATTAGTGTTCAGGAAAGGAATATTGCATGCTTGTCAGGCAGCACGTTTTTTGATGAGGAGTTCTTAGATTGCCAATTCACCTTGTGAGGGGACAGAGGAAAAAGTTGATAGGGAGGTCATATTGGAGTCAGATAATCATGAACTTATTCGAGGAATGAAGAAAAGCTCTACAACTGTTCATGCCTCATGTATTGAGTAACTACAGTTTTTCTCAGCATTCAATATAGAGGGCAATGATCCCAATGCAAGGAGAGGACATTGGAGAAGAGGAAAGTAAGTGGCATGGATCGGCAGGATGCGTTTGGGGATTGCCATCTGTTGCGGCTTGCACATATCTGTAGGGTGTCAGATAGCCAGCAAGCGGTGGTATTAAAACCAGTCACAGACACGGAGCAGGTTAACTGCCCAGTCGTTTGAGAAGAGTGCAAGCGTGCTGGTATGCGTGCGAGGAGCTGAGCAGGGGAAGTACAAGCCAGCACATGGGGGAGCTCATGGATATTCGTACATAGACCAGTTGTTTTTGTATGGAGGAAAGAAACCCTTGGAGTGTGTTCTCTTGCTTTCTATGGGATAAATAAGCCCTGTATATCCAGGGCGTTAGCATGGCCTGTGTTTATGGGTGGTGTTATACAAGATGTAAAGTATTGAATTCTGAGATCTTGACTCGCATAGTCCCACAGGAATAACTAGTGTGAAAAATAGAGAAACAGTTAGATTTGAAATATGAGGCTTTAATTTCAGAAAGCCTTTGGCAACAGAGAATTTTAGAAAGAAAAAAAATTAGAAGATAGGCACTCTAGGATAGTATAGTTCAGTTTTCTTGCTTCTAGGTTTGATCTGAGGTGTCTGAAATATGATAATCTGTGATATGTGCTGAAAAATATGTGTATGAGAGATGGGGGATTTTGAAGAGAAAGTACTGAAGAGGGAGAATGATTTGTGTTTCTAGGTTTCCTGTCTTGCTGGTGAGAGACTTGCTTTGAATTATTATGCTACACTTCCAGGACAGCATCTTGTCATGTGAAAAACATTCTTTTAATGTGTACAAATTAAAAAAGTCTGCTACTCAAAACAAGCTTCATCTTTCCTCTTTGTCCAAGCTTATTCACACCTTTATGCTTGCTTTCATGTGCTGTTTTTGTTTCTAAGTAATGATCCAGAAATATGTTCCAGTTACAGTGACAGCAGATGAGCCTATGCTGGGCATAGGTTGCTTGTGCCTTCCTGCACTCACCAAAACACTTGAGTGGATTTAGGATTTTTGGTCACGTAATCTGAACAGCACCATGATCTTTGCAATTGTGTTTGTCTAGCAAGTCCTTTAACTGAATGCTTGCATACTCTTCCCTCATCGATGCAGCGTGTCATGCCACACAGTGAAAAGAGATAGATAAAAATTACTTCAAAATATTCAACAACTTGGAATGATGGAGTTCTTGCCTAAGACCCCCTTTTGAATGTGGATAGATGAATAAATCCTAATCCTATGGATGAGGAAGTCAAGACACGGATGCTCCTGTGAGTTACTCAGCATCACAAAAGGAAATCCGTGGCAGAGCTGGGAATAGTTCTCATTCCTGTCGTGCTTAAACTGCAAAGCTGATGCAGTCACTCTGGGCGTATTTAGTTAACATACGTGTCTGTCGCAGTCTCTCGGTGTGATAGAGTGCTGGTGTATTTCTTTATCTAATACTGGAACTGGAGTCAGCATGTCTCCCTGCCCCTACCAGTTGGAATTTCTAGTCGCTTTGACATCCTGCATCTTTCTTTTGTCACCCAGGTGTGAGAAGGGGGTGGCTGATGTGATTGTGTAGCTTGCTCTCTTTGGCCCTGTTGTTTGTGCCTGTAAAGGTACTGAGATAGATTTCAATGAAAACAGGAGTGCAAGATGAATTTTCAACCTAATCTAGAGATGCAAAGTAGGAATTGTAGCAGATGAAAATTGTCTCTTGTCACCTTGTTATTACACACATAGACACAGCCTGCTAGGCACTATAGAGTAAAGCACGGATTTCAGGAAGAATCGTGAACCTGCAGACAAGCAGAGGGGACCTTCATCCCAGGTGAATATCCCAGCCATGAGTTCCCGTGTGCACCATTTTCAGTGACTGTGAATATAATGTCCCGAACATGGCAGAAACCCTTCTTTCTGTGGTGTAGCTTTCTCTTGACTGTTCTTATATGTGATTAAATAAAGGTATGTGTTTATTCATACATTGCCTTCTCTGCTTCTCTTGCTTCTGTTCTCCTTTTTCCCCACCTGCAGGTTTTGAATTACTGTACCAGCCAGATGTGGTCCGACTGTACCTCTCCATCCTCACTGAAAGTCAGAACTTCAACACTCTGGAAGCTGCAGCAGGGGCTTTGCAGAATCTCAGTGCTGGCAACTGGACAGTGAGTGCAATCTGCTCTTGAGTCTTTTTAGTGTCCTTTGTGTAAGCAAAGAACAAAGCATGTTATAAGTGCACTGTTACTTTGTGCACTGACGTCTCCTTTAAAAAGGAAGGAGGTGGGAGCTCCAGAGAAACCATTTCCATCTTATTTGCCCCCTTAAGATGTTTTGCAGCTTCTGGACGGATGGTATTTACATAGTGGAAGTGTCACTGAGTTCATGATGATTTAACCATGAGTAGGTTTTACTACTTAAACCACTAACCATTGCTTCGTCCATTCAGAAAAGCCTGTTGTTAGATGATTAAGTGTCCTGAACACTTAATTCATTGGATTGTTAGATTGCTTAGGAAACTGCACTCCAAAGTCTCCTCTGATACCCTCTCTGAAGCATCTGCAGCACTAATCAGGCAGTTCTCTCAAAGGCCTGAGCACTTCTAGAACTGCATGGCAAAGTGGACTGATCGGCAGCCTGAGGAGCAGCAGGGTGGTGTTTCACAGCTGTCTTGAATACAGTTTATTTTAAAATCAATCATGGAACAGAATAAAAGCATGAAATGGGAGGTGGGGGAAGATAACAGATGCTTTGGATGCTTTACTGTTCCCCTTCGAATGACCTCTTTTTTCCTAATCCAGAGGGATGTGTTTTCACACAGAGGTGTGTACAGAACAGATGCTGGCAGATGACACTCCTTCCTTCTATTTCTGTTCTCTTTCCCCAGCAGCTTGCTAAGCTGCAGGATGAACTTACACATCCTTCCTTCCTTGGTGCTTGATGAACTTGAATGATGGCTTAAGTTGTAGATGCATCGGCACACACAACTTAACTAGTCTTTGCAGGGGAAAAAAAAATTAATTACAGCACTGAAAGAAATGCCGGGGCAAGGAAGGGACAGGTATATGAACTCACAATACTTTGTGTTGTTTCTTTTCCTGTGTGTGTTCTGATTAGTGGTCCACGTACATCCGTGCAACAGTGCGGAAGGAGAGAGGCTTGCCAGTGCTTGTGGAGCTGCTCCAGTCCGACTCTGACAAGGTTGTGAGGGCTGTGTCAATTGCCCTGAGAAACCTTTCCATGGATCGTCGCAATAAAGATCTTATAGGTATTTTCTGAACTTCTCTAACCAAGCTGGGACCTTGGATACCCTTGAGACACCTCATGTTTTCTGTCACTTGTGCTGAGGATTCATTTTGTATGCAGTTTCCATCCGCACTAAGATTACTCTGTAGCCACCAAGTGGAGGGCTGTCATCTCAGAAAGTACTTCCAGCCGTACAACCGTTTGTACTTCCAGTACAAACAAGCCGTGGTTTGAGGGGAAATCTCTAACTCGGGAGTGAAAAGAGATGTAGGTTTTTGCAGGAGACAGGAGTGTGTGTAGGTGTGCAGAGGATTGGGGGGGTCAAGAGTTTTCTTGTCTCTTCCTGAGCTCTGGCTGACATGGCACTTGTGCTCCTAGTCGCACGTGGTCGTTACAGAGATGTTGCTCCTTAGGCCTGCTATTTATATTATAGAGGGAGTCTTGCCCTTGGCATGCTGAGCTAAACTGGGGAAGTGCAGTGGGCTTTAAAGTTGTCCCTTTTTTCTTGCTTCCTCCTTCCCTTCTCATCGTTTTGCATGGTAGCGACTTGTAGAAGCTGGACGCCAAACAGCTTACTCTTCTCCAAGTTAGTTCTTCAGCAGCACTCGCTAGCTTCTGTCCAAGGGGGTAAATAAGTATTCACCTGCCCATAAACCAGCATCTTGAAAGATTCAGCTGCGAGTTGAGTTTTTCTCTGGATGCCTCCATTTAACTGATGTATTTGTTTAAACTATAACCTCGTCAGGCCAGGAAATGTTGGTCACATGTTTAGGGCCATCACCCAAGTTGATACTAAGAAGTAGCAAGATGGGATTCTGCTTTAATACATCAAGTTCTTTTTTTTAATACTTCAGAGGTGTAGCTAGGCAAATGGTACAGACAGACACCCAGGGGTGATAAACTACGGACTCCTTGTTTTTTCTCCAGTACTATACACGGAGAAGGCTAACTGCACCCAGGAGGAAATACTGTTACCTTTGCTGCTGGAAGGTTAATAAATGCATGGCTGCACACCTTGCCCCAGAAGGCCTATTGCAAGGCTAAGTTGAGTAAGCCGTGTGCGTGTATTAGCATGAATATGCGGCATTAGCAGCAGCTACTGGATGCTTTTTGCCTCAGGCATTGCAAAGTATGATAGATGCTGGCTGTAAAATTCTCGATAAAGATTGCTTTATTTTTTTTTTCTCAATACCTTTTAGTGTTCATGATGAAGGAGTTTGTCATAGGTATCAACTCTCAATCCCATTGAAATAATGAATGATAAATACACAAAGTTACAGTCTTGAGGTTCAAAACACATACATTATAAAGTTTTTTGACATAGCAAACACCCTTGAATTTTATCATTTGGATGGGAAGCTGAAATGATGATTAGGGCGGACTAATGGTATCTCTTCCCCTTATCTAGGTAGTTATGCCATGGGGGAGCTGGTAAGAAATTTGCCCAGCAGGCAGCAGAGATCTGCAAAGAACCTGGAAGAGGATACAGTGGTTGCGGTGTTGAATACCATCCATGAAATCATTACTGACAGCTCAGAAAATGCAAGGTCTCTGATCCAGACACAGGGCATTCAGAAGCTGGTAGCTATCAGCAAGTCAAGGTAAGTGACAGTTGAAGGCAAAATGCAGAAGAGCTCACTGCAAACACGAAAATGTCACTGTGAACAGTAGCTTTTGCTTTGTGAAAGTATTCAAGCATCCTAACCTTTCAGAGGCTTTCATTTCAGAGTAATTACTATACACGTAGTAAAAACAGTCAGCACCTATAATAGGCTTACTTCATTTAAAAAAAGTTAATAGAGTAGTCATTTCAGTCATGTTAAGACATGCTCTGTCCTTGTCAGATACATCTTAGCACCATGTATGCATTTAGCAGACATCATCTGCAGTGAAACCATGATCTTTATTTTTAGTGGGGGAGGCCTTTTTTGTGTGGCAGCTTTGTGTTGCTGGAATGCCAGTGATGAAATCTGTTTCTTTTAAGTAAAATGGTTAATGATGTGCAGTAATCGTGCTGGCGGAAGGGCTGATGGTGGTAATATGAAGTGACGAATTTTCACTCTGCCGTTCTGTTGAAAACTGTGTTCTGACTGCTTTAGACCAAAGTTTTGTTTGGTTCAGCCTGTTAGACATGAGCTTCTTTTTAGGTGTGTTTTCAGCAAACGTCAGTATTGGGTTGCATTGCTACGAAATAGCAGAGCCAACCGAGAATCTAGCCCTGTATTATTTTACAGAGGGTGCTTCTGTACTGACTTAGGAAGGAATGGATAAAATTTCATTTTGTGTTCAAAAATAGCTTATCTTTTGCTGACCCAAATTGCGTTGTAAGGTATTCTAAACCATGAAGCAACTTCATTGAACTGTAAGGAATATATGTAAGTTGGGGTGAAGGTTTGAAAAGTGGCTTAGAACTTGGGTTTTGGTTTTTTTCCTAAATAAATCCAGACAGGATGGAATCCATCTGTCTTTTGTTAATGACAGCTACAAGATAAAAGAGTCACCCTGGCCTCAGTGCTTGCCCAGCAATACACGTGAAAACCTAGAAATCTGCACAATTTACAACTTTTTGTTTGTTTTGTCAGCAACTACGTATAGATATGAAGAAGTCACCAAATGATTTCACATATGTCCTGTAGCTTATAGGTTCAAAGAAGTAGCTGTGTGGAGTACTAGGTTCTCCTGGACATTGTTTTGGTGCAAAGAAGGCAATGTATGAATAGTATTATATAGTTTGATACTTAAGCTCTGATTTTATCTTGCAAATCAGCCAATCTCCCAGAGAAACAAAAGCAGCATCTCACGTTCTTCAGATGATCTGGAGCTATAAGGAACTACGAAATGCCCTGCAGAAGGAAGGGTGGAACAAATCACACTTCCAGGTAAAGGTGCTGGGTCTTAGATTAGTTATGGAAATGCTCGAGTGGAAGATGTCCTAACCTGGTCTAATATTATAGTCTGATAGATTGAGGGCTTGGGTTCTGTTCTGGTAGGTGATAGAACAGTGTATCGTAATCTGTTCAGTCACAGCATTGTGCGTGTACTTGCTGAGTGTGTTTTTCAGTGGTCTGTGAAATACAGCTGTTTAGGTTTTGGAAGTATGCCACCTCGTGTAGGCCAAATGCCTGTGCTTTACTGGGCATGTCTTTTCTTAGTTGTGTCTCATTTGAAACCTCCATCTAGCAGTATAGCGCAGCGGCCTGTTCTTGACATGCAGCCTCCTCATCTTCCCTTGTGGAAAGGTTTTGCTCCTTTTACAGACCAACAATGCTAATGTTTAGGTAACAGGAAAAAAATTTCACCAACAAGTATATATGAAAATAAAAACCACTCCAATGCTGTATTATCAACAGAAGGAGGGCTTAGCAGCATTCCATGATCTCTCTCCATACTGTTGGTTTGTTTATTTTTCTTGTTCAATTTTCCTGAGTAGCAGTTTTGTATTTATGTGACTTTTGTCTCGTAGTCTGTTTCTGCAGCTCCAAAGGGTTCCAAAGGTACTGCTGGCAGGTCTGGCTATGATGACAGCACTTTGCCCCTGGTGGATAAAAGTCAAGGTCAGTTCTGCTCTGTATCACTTTTTCTGTTGTGCTTTGCTTGCTTGTTTGCTGGATTTCCACATCTGTGTTACAGCAGTGATAGGGCCAGGAGCAAGGGGGTGAAAATGTATTACTTAGTGCTGCTTTTTACCCCACAGTTCCAAAATGTTCAGTCCTATTAGCTGGATATGGATAGTACTCCTTCCCCTGTGAAATGTACACTACCGATGTTGTTTTCTCAACCTGTATGCAACATCATCAGTTAAATCTTCCTGGGAGAATTTGAGATGGATGTGAGTTGGAACCTTGAAAGAGTAGAAGAGCCTTGCTTGACAACATTAGTAAATCTAGCCTTTAGCCAGGAGTGGGCTTGGCCTTACCGCGACTCAGTATTGCAGTCTTTTCCTTTCTAAATAAATGTCCCTGTTTTGGCAGTGCTTCTTCCTCTGCTGTGCAGGGTTTTTTCGTGGGAGATGGTTTATCCAAAGGCTAGCTAAACCTGTCTGTGCTTGTTCATCAGGCCTGACGCAGCCGTACCAACGCTGGTGGAGCTCCAGCTTTAGCTTCATTGTGACTGCTTTGTCTCTGAGTCTGGTTCTAGTTTCTAACACTCAGTTGTCCAGATTTCTTCTCAGAAATCGTCTCGTATGGCAGAGTTTGCCATGTTGCACTTTACCTGGTTTAACTGCAGATTACTGCAGAATACACAGCCCTACACTGCCTTTCCTGTTTCCACCTTCCCTGACTTTGATCAAATCCAGCAAATTATGCAGACAGAGGATATCTTGGGTCAGTTTGCTGATCTGACAACAAACTTCTTGTTTTCTTTGTGGGTTAGCTTTCCTTTGGCTCAGGAGGCTGCTAGACTGGATTGTGTGCCACGTGAAACTGCACCCTTACTTTCTTTCTTTCTCTTCTCTTCTGGAGAGACCAGAGAGAAGCTTATTGAGAACAGTAGGTAGTCCAAAGCAGAACTGTGGTTTCTGTTACCACTTGGAGAGAGGGAGCTATATTACAGTGCCAAAGCAGAAAATGGAAGGATTACGTGTGCTCTCTGGAGAGCTTAGATCAAACCTCCCTTTCTGAATGGATAACAGTTGAATAGTTTGGGGTTTTTGTACAGTAGTCTCTGCATTCAGTACTTTATGGACCTCTCTGGTCCTGTGACTAACTTAAAACTAGCAGGTGTTGAGAAAAGCAAATGTAACTCACATCATTCCAATGATTCTGTTTTATAGATAACGAGAAGACTGGGAGTCGTGATATGATACCTATGGATGAACTTGGCCCAGGTAACTTCAGTCATAGATCGAACCCTCTGTCTGTTTCAGTAGAGCACACTGCCACTCACAGGAAAGTTCAAATATTTCTCTAGGTGATATTCTTTCAGATGGATGAAGCTGACATTTAAAAACAGAACATTACCTTACAACACATTGGTCATCGTCTTTTTTTTTCCTGCCTTTTTTTTTCTGTTAAATACATGTAGAGTGTACACACGAATGTCTCCACTACTTTAAGCATATAACAGAGAGATACTGACCTAGGTTTCGTTCTAGTCTCTGGCCCTTGAGGCAGCTGCATTCCCTATTACAGATTTGGAAGTCTGGGAATTCAGAAGGGGAGGGGGGAAAAAAAAAGAGTTGAAAAGGTACTTCAGTGTAATGCTTGTGTTTAAATCCGTTCTGCCTGTGTTTTCTGTGGGTAACACCAAAAGTAAGTTAGTATGTCTGATATTCATGGCTCTACCTTTCATTTACCTGCATCTAGCCAAGCCTGGCTTTTCCTATGGAGAGAGAACAGCCACCTACTGTCAGTGAAGTGCTTTGAGACTGATAAGCTCTGTAGGTCAAGACTTGTAGAGGGTTTTTTCTTTACTGGGGTAGATAAAGGTGCTGTGTGGTCTCTTGGGAATTTGCTTTACTTCTTCCGGTTGACATGATTAATATATATTAATGCCTCAAAATCAAACAGTTTAATATACTGCTATTTGTGATTATAGCTGAAAAAAATAGCAAGTTAGAACCAAGCTGAAAGCCAAGCACGTTCAGAAGTTAAAATAACAGGTCTATATTACCTTTTGTATTCTTAGAAAAATGAGAAGCCACCTGCCATGAGTCAACTGTCCGTATGTATTTTACCTAAGGGAACACTGAAACGTTTCTTCTCACAATGGAAGAAAATAACTTTGGAGAAGATTGCCTGGCAGGATAGCTGTGTGCTAGCAGGCGCTGCAGCGTGGGTAGTGCTGATTGTTTTTAGTCACAGTATTAACTGTTGTCTTCTGCTTTCAGGAGTTACTGGTACAACTCCGAGTACAAAATGAAATGCAAATTAATAGCATATGTACATCAGGCAGATTCTCTGGGCTGTTCTGTTTCCAATCTTTTTATCACTAGTAGAAGATGAAATCTGTCAAGTTTTCCTGACTCCAGCTCTTAAGTACTTTTTAACTTCAGTATGACTATAGCTTTGTGCTGTTTCAGAAGCCAACTGAGAAGGGACTAAATTTATCCAGTTTACTATCCTTAATTCCAAGGAACTGGAATAACAACTTAGTACTTAATCTTTTCCAAATACCGTATGTTTTTTGTCGTATGGGCATACTTACATGAGGAGCTGCTCTAGACTGTATTTTCTGATTTTAATGTCGTTGTGGACTGTTGTATTCTGGAGTTTTTGTTCTTTTCCACTCTGGAGTGAACTGGCAGGTACAAGGAGCAGAACATCAACGTGCAGTCCTCTGGGTTTGTACCTCCAGTATGCAGTTTGGTTGTATCTGCACATACTCCACACCAGTCTATGCTGAGCCTCTAGGAGAGACTGACCTCACATATGTTTGCAAACAATATGCATGACAGAGTGCCAGAGAAAGTTGTGCAGCATCTGAGCGCTTTTTTTTTATTTCTCTTTATTGCAGAAAGTGCTGTGCCCTGGTTTTAGTTGTGTGGTTTTTCCCTTGCCTTCCTCTCTCTGACTTGATTTGCCCTAAGATCTTTCTACTTTATGTTCACTGTCTTTTAGAGAATTCTCATCTGTCTCCAGCTTTGTGTTGTCCATTTCACTTAATTCCGATGCTTCCAGGTTGCGTAGTTGTCTTTCTGCTGTGCTGCTTTGGTACTGCACTGTTAATTGCCTCAGACACATTAGAGTGTGCCAGTGCAGAACACGGGGAGTTGCCGTGCCACACAAGTTAGAGGTACCCAGCTGTTCAGCTGGGCCCTTCAGCCCAGAGTGTTCATCCTGCCCCCCTGCAGTGTAGAAGACTGCTTGTTCCAGGACATCAGCGCCTGTCTGCCACTGTATCTATTGCCTGTTTTTATCAGGGTTCAGCTGTCTCGGTGCCTTGACCTTTACTGTTAACCCATGTTGACTCTATTTCAAGATTCCAAAAAGAAAATTGCTATTGGTATCTTGGCTTATTTGCTAATGCGGGGGGTGGGGGGTGTCATCCTTCTTTATCAAGGAAATTAATTTGCTATCAGTGTGGCTGAGGAGGCAGAAGGATACGCACCGCAGCAGTTGGCAGTACTAGAGCAGTCGAATTCCTGCTGTCTGGAGCAATGGGAGGACCTGGGTAGAATGCGGATGTCCTGGGAGATGGAAGAAAACATGTATTATAAGGTACCATGGCATGCACTCGACAGCCCAGTGCAGAGACCGCTCAGGTCTGTCAGACTTCATCAGCTCCAGACAAGTAGCTCTGCACCGAGAAACCTGAAGATCATCAATGCTTGTTGTCACAGTGCTGCCTGAGGGTGGCTGTGACCCTGAGCTGTCTGTAGAAGCAGCAGAACTGTGATCTCCAGGCTGTATGCCGAATTTGTGAGTTCTCCAAAACTGTAGATGTGCCTTAATTAACCTACAGTGAGTCAGACAGGAGCACCTGGGAGCTGAGAATTATTCAGGCCAGAGACACATGGTTCAGACGCCCCTGTCCTGTATGCCCATCTCCGGGCATAACTTTCCTTTCTCCTCCTCCTCCTTTTTGATGGGTCTGGAGGTTTGATCTTTGAGTTTATGAAATTTATGATGCCGTTAAAATGTTGTTGCAGAGTGAATGGGAGATAGTCAGTGAAGCAGTACAGAAGACAACAAGCAGAAAGTTGAGAGAGAGGAATAAACAAGCCAAGAATGGGATGTCCCTCTACTGATCAATGAAACGTGTCTATACGCAGGATTGTATTAACTCAGAATAATGCACTTACGTCTTGGAGCAGTGAGATCTGTATAGGTCTCCTTTATGCTACAGAAAGAGTTAATTGTGATCACTTTTTACAGTGAATCTGAAACATGGGAGAAGCAGTACTTTCTAATTTCTGTAGAGAGCTGTGGTCCTTGGGGCACTGAGGTATTACTTCTCTGATGCAGCCTCCTTCAAGATATTTCTCATTTTATTAGGTCAAATCATGAACTTCCTGTCTCTGCTGCTGCTTAGCTTGACAGACTCATAGCGCAGTGTGTGGTTTTTAGAAACACATGATCTATTAGTGCTGATGTGTGCAGCAGCGTTAGCATGCAGATGACACAACAGTGGGCTGACAGTATGAATTGCGTAATATATAGGAATTTAGATATGAAGAACAAAGTTCATGACCGTTCTTTGTTGTTAGATTACTGCCACTGTGCAAAAGCTTGATCTTCCTGTTACTGCTGTCCTGGCTGAGCATGGTTTTTTAATTTTTTAGTAGTATTAAAGATCCATTGTGCTTTTAATTTTTTGTGATTACAGTCCTTACTTCTGACCTTGCTCCCTGGGAAGTACCACAGCTGCCATACTTCACTTAGTAGCTGTTGCTTTCTGGGGGTAGGTTAAAGGTTTCCGTTGTATCTTGGCAATTAATTTAAAAAATGCTTGTGGATCAGCCATGATGGCGGCACTACAAAAATGCAGTGATCTATTGCATCATTGTGAGTATAATTAATATGAGATTATGAAGAGCTACCACTCCATCGTTGTGACTTTAATTTTTTTAGGGAATCGGGATGTTTTCATCATTTAAATACATACCTATGTGAACTATTTACTCCAAAACAAATGATGAATCTTTAGATTAGGATATGACTTATTAGCAGTATTCATGCCTGTCATTTGAAAGAGAACGAGTGAAAGAGAATTGGTCATGCGTTCCTCCACAAATGTTGGCTGGGTAGGAGGATGAAGCTGGCAGGCTTTAGGGTTTTTCTTTTTGGAAAGGAATAGCCAAGGATGTTATTGTCAACAAAAAATTGCAAATAAAGCTCTGTGTAGCAATTATTTTCATGCTTTAAGATCTGTGTACTATGTATAACTCCAAAATTCTTTCATTATTTTTCGGCAGCATGGTTAAATAATCTGTCACTCTGGATGATGTCATAAATATATGCTGCTTCAGGTGCTTGTTACAGGTCTGTGTGCACTGTGATTCATAAGGTGCACGGTAAAACTACAGCTCTCTTAAAACTTAACCTGGCTGTGGCCAGCATAAACCGCATTTAGGGCCCTGCTCTGCGCCTGTGTTTGGTGCAGGTCGCTGTAGCTGCAGGTGCTTTTGCCATGTGGGCCAACAGTGCCTCTTCGTGCCACTGGAACCCCACAAAAAGCATGAGTTAACTTTTTCTTAATGACCTATTGCAGACAAGTAATAAACTGAGAGAGGAGCATTTTGGTAGTTTATGTAAAACGTTTTTCTGATATTCTAAGAACCCAGTTTGTCAGGACATGAAAACATTAATGATCCTTCAGTTACACAAGGGAAAACAAAAGCGTACAGGGAGCTGTAAATTTGAGTGCCATTTACTCCAGATTACAATGCCGTCAAAGCAGAGCGGGAGAGGCTCTGTTTGTCACTGATAATGAGGGAAATCTGATGCATCAGGAAAATAAGATTTGCATTGGCTGACAAGGATTCCAAGCAAGGGTTCTGAAATAATTAGAGCCATTTCTTTATAAAACCCTCTTGCACTTTTCTTCCTTGTGTTCATCATGCTTTCATATTGTTTCTTAGTTGTCAGGAGAAAAAGGCACCAACAGGTGCTACTCTGTAATGAAAGACAGCCCAAGCACAGCCGGGTTTGCATCGAGATTTCTTCCAACTCCACAGGCCCTTTTTCTCAGTGCTGTGAAAGGGACTGTTCCAAATTATTGTCATGTCCTGCTAGTAGTCACGCTCAGGAAGAGCGGGGACATGCTGCAGAGCATTCAGGGAATGAACGCAGCCGATTAATCAGGCTGCTAAGCGAGGAACACAAGATTTGGGCTGAATTTGGAGCTAATTAGCCACAGGGCACAAGATGACAACTTGCTGCTTTCCTTGGGCACACTAAAAATTGCAGCAGGCTGGGATGAAAACGGTGCTGCTTGCTAATGAGTGCCAGCATCTGGCGGTGATACAAAAAGAGGGGGTTTCTTTTTAGTTTTAAGCTGGTAAAAATGACATTTCAGAGCTGGAGCAAGTGTGAAAAGCAGGCTGCCAACATCTTTGGGTTGTGACGTTTATTTTCCTGTTTCTTTGCTGAAGAATTCTGCTAGCCTCAGCTCTGGTTTTGCTTTTGTTTGTGCTTCATGCCTGACTGTCTTGTTATTTCTCCTCAGATGGGTACTCCACCATTGATCACCGGGACAAGGAGCGCAAATACAAGACCACTGATAACACAGGGGATGCCTCGGAGAAAGAACCTTTAAAAGTGAGCTTCCTCTTACTGCTGAATGCTAGTTAGTGCCGTGAAAAGAAAGGAAGCCTGGTGTCCTCAGCCAGAAATACAGGGCAGTTACTCACCAGGGGGCTGTAAAGGGCTGCCTTTTTTTTTTTTCTCTCTAAAGGCATCCTTTTGTAACTTGGCACTTGGCTAACTAGAAATAAAAACAAAATGCTGCTTTCCAGTGCAGGAGCAAATGCAGGCAATCACTGTATTCTTGTAAATGGATGAGGCTGTAAAAACAGAAAGTGTTTGTTCTGTCACCCTCGTCCAGGCAGCATTCCCTAGCCCTAAAGTGTATAAATGTGCTCAGACTTCGTTCTGAGAATAGTCACTTCAGACCGTCACACTGCTTCATTGTTTTCAGAACGAGAAGTAGGCGTGAGCTTGTGTGTCTGTGCACAGCAGTGTGGTGAACGGTATTCGTTTCCCCAGTTCACAGTCCTGACAGTGGACTATGGGCATGGGCTAAGGAGATGGAGGGAGACACACGCATAATTGTGTGTACTTTCTAAAAACAAATTCAGACCACTTTCTAATTTAAAAAAAAAAAAAAAAATCTTGCTTCACAGAGCACTTTATTGTGGGTTGTGTGCAAATGTGACTTAGTAAGCTCTGTGTAATTTCTGTTGCACTGCTATGCCTTTTCAGCAGACCTTTTTAAAAGTCATTTAATGCTGTGGCCGTCAGTTCTCCCTGGCATCAAAACAAGTTTGTGTTTTCCCCTGGGGAAGTAATTTTGAGGAGGATTCAGTGAAACAAGAGCCAGTGGTAGGAAACACTGTTGTTAGTCTGCAGAACGCTGTCCTTAATAACCTTCAGCACATTGCTAATAATATCAGAAAATCCAGGTGATTCGTGTTCAGTGGAAACAATTAAACTTCAGTCAGCTGAAAGGAGACCCCACTATTACTGAACCAGGGAAATAAAAAATGTGATTTGGAGAAAAGTATTTCCATAGATCATGAATTAGGAAGATGTCCTGCTGCATCAGTCTGCCTATATTAACTTGCCTGGTCATGCATTTCCTGCTGTGTCCTGTCTTTCCGTGAGGGTACACCCTGGAGAATGGCTTCAATCCAGCCAGACTTCTTTTAGGCACAGATCACTCTCTTCGGTTTGCCAGCTCTGGGTATAGCTGCACCCAGGCTGCCCAGCTGGACTTTTTGATAGAGGTGGTTGTGCTCTTTCATTTGTTTTTGAAAGTGATGAAACTGAGCTGATTACTCAAGTCACGCAATGTGGCCCCCTGCTCCAGTGTGGCAAGAGATGGCCCTGCTTGAACCAGTGTCAGTGAAGTACAGCTTCTAGTTCCCTCATCACAGTTCTAATACATTTTCCTAGGATGCAGTGGGGATGGATCCACAAAGTGACTTAAGAATGTTGATCAATAGGTGCTTGACAGAAAATGTCCTTCTAAGGAAAATAGGCTAAGGCAGGAAAATTAACAAATACTTGTTATTTTTACCACTCAATAGTCATTAAAGTAGTCCAATACAACCCTCAAAATCACATCAAGCAGTGCAAACTGCAGTGTATGTCTGAAGTGAAGCACAACCCAGAGTTCAGTGAGTAGCTGCTTTGCTTTCACAAGAAAAAGAGAAGAAACATTTCACATCAACGATGTGTCTCTCATAGGCTGTGCAGCCTCTTGGTTTTAAGGACAGAGGGTAACCTGAATTCAGCCCGTTGTATGCCTCCAAGGTATGCGCTGCCGTGCCCTCAGATGGGCAGAGCTGAGCAGTTGCTACTCCTCTTTCTTCCTATGCTCTGAAACAGAAATATATCTGTGGGGTCTTCTGGCTTGTGAACTGTTCGATAACCCTGGCTCTGAGGCTCAAGAGTGGATGAGAACTGTGAATAATGATGGCAGGGAAGTGCAGCCTTTTGGCTGTTGCATATGCTTTTGTCAGTATTGTGCCTTTGCTGATCTTGTTTCTTTCTCTGACACTAATTTTCCCTTGTGGTCCTTTAAGCTGACTTGTTTGGTGGTTTTGTTTGATTAATCCGCTCTGTTTTGCCTTTAACTCCTCACCCTGTGCTGCAGAATGACACAAATAGGAAAAACATTAACAGGAGTAACAGGGCTTCGGTGAATCTGGTGGATGCCCGTGACATTAAACCCCAGCCTGTTGACTCCTGGGTCTAATTTGCATGCATGGTAGGTCCTTTTAATGGTAATTGGTGCTAGTAATTAACTTGTCTCATGCATGATCTGTATCGCTGTGGAATCTCTTCAAGGCTAACCGCTAACTGGGTCCTTTCAGACAAATGAACATGCATTTGAAAAAAAGTGGTGTTTATATTATTCAGTGTATCCTTAATGAAATGCAATCAAACACCACTGTTTGATTAAAAAATAGCCTGTCAAATCGCCAGACAGGAAATTAATATTGTGAATGATTGGTTGTCAGCTGAAATGTGAAAGATTTCTGCTGTTAGGCCACGGGAATGAATTTGATTAGTGTGTTCTTGCTTCCAAACATTTCTTTCCCCTCTATGCTCATTGTAAGGATTAGCCTGAGACTTAAGGAAAAGCATATCCTTGACTATTTATGGACGTCCCCTCAGGCTCCCATGAATTACACAGCTCTGCCCATCTGCAGGAAAGCTGCTGGCTGTACACAAGTTACTTTGCAAGGAGAGATGATTTTGGTTGCACAATAAACGTTGACCCACAACTCCCACTTCTGAATTCCTCTTTTTTTTCTTTCTGTCGCTGAAGAAAGGTGCCTTTTTGTCGCTTTCTAATTCTCTGCCTTTGCCATGTGCCAAGTTCCTCGGTAATGTCACTGGCCTTTCTTTGCTTCTGCCACTGCTAGTCTGTCTCCTGCTGTCTTGCTAGACAGCTCTCTGCCCTCTGCCCTGGTTGTACCTTCTGGCACTCCATCAGATGTGATGCTACGTTTGGAAGAGCAGGTTTTGTGCCCCTGGCTATGACTAAAGGAAAATCGTAGTGACTGTTTGAAGGCACTGGGCAACTTCCCCATCAGAGTGGACAGTAGGCCTTAAAGGCCCAAATTCCAAAACATCATTCACTCCCATAATTCTACACGGAAAACACTTGCATTAGTGGAAGAGTCCTGTATGGTTTTGGGCTCCCTCCACCCCTTCTTCATTTAAGAGTCTAGTATAAGTGCCCAAGTGCTTGCAGATTGTTTCTGTTCCTGGGTCGGAAGCACCTGCCCGGAGCAGGCTTTCACCACTGCCAGGTACTCTCTTACGTAGCCACACAGCAGGCCCTGGCACCGTTGGCTTCCCACAGCTGGTCGGCACTGCATGGTCAGCCTTGTTGGCCCAGCCGAAGGGCAGGGATAGATATATGTGTGTAGTGCCCATATGCTTCACTCCCGCACTCTGAGCAGTGAAGGCTGACAGGTGGGGTACAGAAGTCTCTGCTCGTTTTCTCACATTCATACCCTTCAAGGAACCCGTGTAGTGGGGATAGGTTGGCATTTCCAGTCAGTGTCCTACCACTGGGTGATGGAGATCACCAAGGTCACGTTACTTGCTGGTATTAATCAGCTGTGACTTTATTTTGCAGGGCTAGAGTCCAACCACATTATTTTTAACTGAGGGGGAGAAACAAACATTGAATCGACACAGAGGATTTCATCAGTCACCACTGCCATTTTGGAGGGCGCTGCATCACCGACCAGGCTGCAGATTCTAGGAGAAAACACAACTGACTGCCATTGCCAACCCCGGAGCACCATGCCTTACAGCGAGACAGTTTGCTTTTTATCTCCGTTACATTCCCGTCAGAAATAGCCACCACCTTCTCCTCCCTCCCACTCCTGCAAGAAGAAAGCAAGCAAGCAAGAAAAGAGAACCCAAGCTTCCGTCTAGATGGCCACATTCTTAGGTGACTCTTACATGCGGATGGTGCCAAGTGTGAGAAGTGAAGGTTATGTAGCAGCAAAGACGACAGCTTCACAAGTGAAAGAGAAACTGCAGAATATTTGAAATAATATCGTAGGTGTAGCCATGAAGATAATAGCACTTTCTGGTTTGGGGCTCATTGTTTTGTTGTATGTTTTGGGGGATTTCTTTTGAACTGTGAATCTAACATTTTTAAAGGGTTTTTGAAAAATGTTTAGATTTTCTCTATTATTTCCACAGAAACTGCAGGAATGTTGAGTGGGTTTATTGGATTTCAATGAAGGGACAAAATGCAGAACAAAAACTCTTAAACGCTGGTCAAATGAACTGGAGAGTGGATGACAAAATTGATGCAAGCTGTATAATCTGCTTTTAGAGTAAGCTATATCAATCACAGTGCTATATTATCATTATAATCTGATGTACGATACTTCTGCCTTTTGAATTACGTAATGGCTCTGTTTTTATTTCCACATACTGAAAAGCAGTTTATTGAAGGTTTCAGTGTCCCTGGTTCAGAAATATGAGAATTGGAGTTGGCTGGCTTCTTATTTTCTTGTTCTCAAAGATTGCAATAAGGAGCTTTTACATTCTAAATGTACTAGTGTTGCATTGAAGATGGTTAATAATTTGTTTTCCCATAGCTGTTAACACATTGGAAGAAAATAGGAGCTTTTTCGCAGGATGTCTTATTTTGAACACACTATAAATTTTAGATGGGTCTGTCACTTCTGTTTGATGGTAAATTGGTCACTGTTGGATCCGTGTTTGCTTTGGGCTATCGATCCTGATGAGAAACGCCAGAAAGAGAACTGGCTTGGTGTTTTTTGAATCATCATTGTGATTTCTGTGTTCCTTTGGTTTTGTTTTGAGATTACATATTTCAGTTGGTGCGAAAATCACCCATGTGCAATGGTTCTCCTCTAAGATGCCAAGGCCTGCTTTGTGTAAGGGGGAATTTTTACCTCATGAGAACGTCCTCTGCATATATGGTATCTGGCAATGCCGTGAACTAAATTACTTCAGATCGCTGATTTTCTCCAGGCATTGGTCAAGGGAGGGCAGCAGATGAGAATAGGAAGCAAATGTCTCACTAGTAGCCTCGGAGGACTTTTGCTGATTTATTTGGTTGCCACTGTTCTTTGATTGCCACATTTAGCTTTAAACAAGCTCCTAAAAACGGTGTGACAGGAAAGCACATTTTTGAATCTAGCAAACATCATTTCCGGTTTTCAGTGCCTGCCGTTTCCTTTGTAATTAAAAAGGGGAAATATCCAACAACCTCACCTCCCCCAAATAAATAAATAAATCTATATATGTATATTTATATATTGTTGTGCAGAGGACAGGTTAACAAAACCATGTAAAGTAGTTTGCAGGAGAGGGAAGCATTTGTTGATTCAGGGAAAAAGACTGATGCCAGAGGCTGTCAGTGATTTGGATGATACATGTGCTCCTTCACACCCTCCCTTTTTGACCCTCATCTTCCACGTACGTTGCAGTGGTCACTTCTGGATCCTGGGGAAGGTGAAGTTGCTTGGAGCAAATTAAGATAGCAAAGATTTGTTTTTTCACCTGCAGGAGAGTCCTATTGGGCCAAAGATGCTCAGCGGATCAAGGGAAGCAGAGATACATCTGTGATTATCTGTGTCGGGGCAGTGTCTCTCTGTGTGCAGACATAAAGTGTGGCAATGAAACCAGATACATAGTCTGACTGTATATTATATCAATGGTGCTCTTTTCATACTTGTTCTGCCAATACGCGGAGACCCTTTTAACCAAGCTACACAGAAGAGTTTTATATCACTTTTGGTTATGTACTTGGTGTATTCTTTTTGTATATGAAAGGATTTTTTTAAAAACGTTCAGTGATTAGCAATGGAACCTGCTTTGTAGCTGATTAGAACAGTGTAAGAGAAGGGCCGTGCTGTCAGTCTGTCCCTGATCTACTTCAAACCATATACTTACCAAAGGAGTCTGAGCAAAAGTTCACTTAAAATAAAAACCTGACTGTTGAAAGGAGTCTCTGCTAAAACTTTGTGATTTAGTTATTGTACAGATATTTTAAAGCCAGCAAGAGGTTAACAGAAAAAAATGCAGGAATGGGGAAGTGAAGTGACTAGGGGCCAATTACGTCCATGACCTCCTATCCCAGACATCCCATGGGTCTCAGTGGGGCCCTACCGGGACACTCAAAATCTGGATTGGAATCTACTTGGGTCTCTGTCATTAGTGGGCTAAAAACACTGAGGACTGTTTGAGAGGCAGTCAGGCCCTATCCCGCTTTTCCCCAAAATCCTCTTTGTATTTACGCTGCATCCTGTGATGAGCAAACCTCCGTGTCAGGCTAAGTGGCATTGCAGCAAACTGTTCCTTGTTTTCCTGGGGGTAAGTGTTCATGGCAGCCAGCGTAGGTGTGAGCTGATGACCTGGTTTATTGCTGCAGAAAAGTGAAGGATGGTACGTCAAGAAGAAATACCAAGTCTATGGGCCAAGACTTCCCCTGGGAATCACACGTCTTACCCCTGCTCTTCCCATGTCTTAAAATAACGACTAATTCCCGAGTATGTAGCAATAACCCATCATTTACATTACTGTGGTTTTTTTTCTTAACAAACTGTTGTTTGGATGTTGAGGAAAGAAAATGGATTGGGGGTGACTTGCGTGTGAGACTGTCGCCTTGTATTAGCCCACCAGCTGAAGTCCAAAGCAAGACACTTTGAACCAGGTCTGGTGATTTAATGTCCTTTTCACCTATGGCCAGAAGCTGGCGGGTGGGATGTGTGCCCACACCTGCCCTCACCTCTCCCCTTGTTGGCGCAAGTGTGACTGGCTGTTTGAGCTGTTCTGGGAAGTGGGTGGATGAACCTGTAATTGTTGTATTTTGGCTGCAGGAACTGTATGTAAAGAAGGGAAAGTGGCAGTGTGTGTGACTAAAGCTGCAGTAGGGTCTAGAGTCTCCTGCTAAAAGGCAGGCAGTGCTTTTCAGGGCTCAGGTATGTGACCTCCTCTTTTCTTGTTGGCTCCACTGTGAAAACTGGAGGGAATCTGCCTGCAAAGGGCTGGGGCAGAAGAGAAATTTCTACCTGCAGGAATTCTAGTGGGAGGGATGGTTGTGGAAGGAAGCGATGGTGTTGCAAGACTCCTGCTAAAGAGGAGGAGGAAATTTGATGGCCCAGTGAGGGCTGAGATAACAGGGGAGAGGGCAACTTCTGATGGCGTGCAATTACTGCAGAACTTTCTTCCCAGGGAGGTGGCTTGCACATCTCCCAGGCATCTTCAGTAAGCCGTGGAGGTTTGGTTTTACTTAAAAAAAAAAAAACAAGTGTGTCAAGACTGCCCTGGAGAAGCATCAAGTTTGGTTGTTGAGTGTGAGAGCAATTGTGCTTACAGTTTCTGAGGTTGGTCTGTCTGTTTGCAGAATCCAAGAGTGGAAAGGCAAGGCTGTAGGACATTCTGTCTTGGAGTTAAGTAGCAACTTGGCCATAAGTGTAACTTGACAACTCAAGATGTGTTGCCAGCTTGAAATGCTCCTCAGAGCACAGCTTGGGCAGCCATAGGTCCTGATCTTCAGTGTCTTCTGTGCAAAACACCTGCCTATCCTAGTTCTCCTCTTGTGCACTCAGACATGCCGATTCTGAGTGCCTCTGTGTCAGGAAAGCAAATCCTGTCTGTATTGCCAAGACATCACAAAAGGGACTGACCTGGGGACTAGGAGCTGGCTTGTTGCAAGTGACACATCAAGAAAGCAGGGGGTGGCATGCTTCTTACAGCAGAGTAGTTAAAGTTCTTGCCAGCTCTGAGGAGCAGATCTCAGTGATGATTTCTAGCATGCAAGACTTACGCTGGGCAAAGCCGTTTTCACTCCTAGAGCAGTTCGTGAGGTTGAAGGTGGTGAGTTACCTTCTGTTACTTGCCTTAAAGTTGAGCATATTGGCTCAGCTGCCTGTGAGAGAGGCGCACATGTTAAATCCTTCGAGTAAGCAAACCTTCAGAAGCCAAATGGGCACACTGGAGTGGTATAGCCTCTTCCGCTGTCTGACTGCCCGCTCAGTGAAAACTACAGTGTGTCAATAACTTCAGCCAGCGTTTTTGTGCTGTTGAGGTGGAGTGGTGCTCTCACAGTTTTTGAAGGTGTTTATATAGGCATAGTTTCTTGCAAAATTTCTTTGTTTTGATGCCCCTAGAATCTGGTATTTCTTTATCTTTGACAGAGAAATCATCTGATTTATTGGTACAGTAACTAATCTAGTGCATTTAAGGGAAAGGTATTATGAACCTTTTTTTTTCTGTCTTAAGTTTTACATCAGGGCAGGATGTTCTGAAGTCCAAGGTGAGGAGGAAGATAGCGCAGATACTACAAGGCCTGCCAATCTGGTTCTTACTGTTCAGAAAAACAAAATAACTAGACTAAAAAGCTTACTGGTAATTAGTAGCTAATGTGTTTGTAACTATCATGTGCCTTAAAATTTTCATGGTAGGAGAATAAAAAAAAAAAATCAACAATGTGTTTTCTGTAATACTGCTCAACATCCTCTCTGTAGTTTAGACTGGTGGGATTTTGCATTGTATTTACACTGTACTATAAACTGAATGGTTTGATTTTACAAGTATGGAGAGGAAAAAAAAGGTGGATTATGCTTTTCATAGAACAAATGTTACCGTGACAGAATGTATTATTATTATAGGATCTTTCCATAATGCAGACAAGTAGAATGCTTGTTAGAAACCAGGTATGTAGGGTAACAATTTGGTGTGTTTTCAATAAACCATGCCTGGAAAGAATACATGTGCCATTGGTTATCTTTTTGTTAAATATTCTTTGGCCTGCGGCAGGGGATTATTCAACCCTAGCTCAGGTCAGCACTCTGTGTGTTAGTAAAAGGTCAGTGGTAATGAGGGTAATTGGAATATCCTTTAAACTAGTATAGCTGAAAATGTTTGATTCGTTGCCATATGCTGGAGTTACAGCACAACATCCTGTAAGGACCCTTGACTGCAGATCATGGGGTTTTTTTCCTTTTTAATATACAAGCATATTTCTGTGGGAAAGATGTCTGTGTCACTGTTCAAAGGCCTGCACATTTGGGACCACAAGCCTAACTTGCTGGTGGCTTTTCCATTTGGGAAGTTACTAACCGTCCCCAATTTAGTCATAAAATCCATGTAACTTTACGAAGATTCTCTTTTCTGAAATGTGTGCGAGTATTCTCGTGTGTAAGAGTAACAGAAAATCTTTACGATAGCGATATACGAGGTTTGGTTGAGATGAGAAATTGTTATTTTGGGGATGTGCCAAATAATTTACATTTGTTGCTGTGTGGGGGAGAAAAATCCTGATACTGGAAAGTCAACTGTGTATTTCAGGTAACAACCAGTTACTGACAGATCTTAATTCTCTTCAGCACTGCCTCACGTTCATCTGTGCTGTTAAGATCAGTAGGGAGGCTGACGACTTCAAGACATCATACTTAATGCCATGCCTTCACGAAGCATGACAAACCCCAGTAAATCTTGACATGAGCATTCTGCGAGGTCTTACAGATAGAGTGGAGGTCAAGTTTTCTGTGAGTGAAAGGGTGATGCATCATTGCCAGTAGCAGAGTTTGCCGTACATTAATGCCTGATTGTACCATTCACAGTACTGTAAGATTCCATTTACTTACGAGTGCTTGCAAACAGCAGCTTGCCTTCCCTCTGTATTTCAGATGTCCTGAGTGCATCC